TTATTATGAATATTATTATTATTATTATTATTATTATTATTGTTATTATTGTTATTGTTGTTGCTGTTATTATTATTATATTATTATTATTCTATGCTTTGGTAGTTGACACATGTACAGGGAATATCTCCCTTTGTTAACTACCATCTCATGTAAGGAAATAAAATTATGATTATGATTATGATTAAGATATGGGATAATACTCATTTTAATAGTGGTTGTTATATTTTGGAATTCAGAATGTAATACATGAAGGATTGAAGATATATAGTTGTATCATTATATTCACCATTCAAACAAGCTTAATTCCTAAAATTAGCAGTTGAAATCATACGGTCGTGAAAGACACTCCTTAACATTGGTAAACCTATGATCAGTAAGAATACATGTACCGTATATCCGGTATAATTTCCTTCAATAAATTATGGATAATAATACATCGGATCTCTAGTTCTCACTTGACCTAGGATATTCAGGACGTTTGGAAGCAAAATGCATCGGTTAATCTACACACTAATAAGTCTATGTATACCCTATGTCGTGACGGGTAAGTTGAGGCATTAATAAGTCAGCTAATTCATAGCTAATTTGATATGTTTGTTGAGTCAAATCAATATCGAGCTTAATTGAATTCATCTTTTTAAATTCTCTACCGGTTACCACCTATCTTTTGGTTATATAATGCTCATATGAGCATTTAAATATTAGTTTACTCACTGTAGAATAAAATCTGATATCGTAGCCGCACACGCAGTATTGAATAACGATGAGTACGGGTGTGTATGCATGCATGTAAATGTTATCTAATAATAAAGTAATTATTTGAAATATAAAACAGCAGTGATAATAATAATAATTAATAATAATAATAATAATAATAATAATAATAATAATAATAATAATAATAATAATAATAATAATAATAATAATAATAATAATTCTTCAAAGAGCGTTCCCGATTGCGTCGGGGAAAGCTACGCAGTGAAAGGATTGCAGTGACAATGCTGTAGTGGTATAGAAACCAAGCTTTATAGAGTGGATGTAAAGTGGTTGAATTCACAGCAAGTAGACATATAAACTTATGATATGTCTAGTCGTAAAGCAAAATAAAAACTCATGTTTTATCCGAAATGTGAATAAACAGTGCAGTAATTCGAACTTATTGTTTACGTGGCGCTAATGTGTCCTCGTACTCTTACGGCTGTTGTACTGGGGGAATGTATAGTCGAAGCAACAGCCTAATGTGAATTAATGGGTTTTAAATGTTATCATGATTTTTAAAATACATCAAATGATGCTGACATTATTATTTTTTAACTTAAATTCTGTGTAATCTTTTCAATAATACCAACAGTAACAATTCGAAAAAAAGAACAAACTTTTTTTTGTTCTTCTTTTGATTTAACGTTTCAAACTTTATTTAATATGTTGTTTTATATAATAATGATAAAAATGAAACAATGTGTGACAAGAAATTTACAAACGAACAAAGTATTATCTTAATTACAATTTATTACACTTATTTTGTCAAATCACGATAATTAAGAACCCAATTTTGCCCCAAAAAAGACATTAAATACATCATCAAAACGCTACAAACACCGGAGCAGCTGGGGGTTTCGCCCACCACACCCCCAATAGCCTCTAGGGCCCTTTGCTGTCCCTGGTCCCACCGCCTGGCTCCAGGCCTTCGGCCCTTTGTTACGCCACTGATCCTTTGTAGCCCTGCATTAACATTTTTGCAACCCCTCCCGCAGGTGGGAACCACCCTACGTCCCTAGCTAAACTTTAGAAGACTTATTTCCAGTTTGTGTGTGAATAATACACGTTTTCTATTTTTCTATGTTATTCATAGCAATCTGTACCATCCCAACTGTCCACCACAGCAACAATGATGCAAGTAATGTTATCTTGAAACATGGTCAATCGGTGACTTACACATGTAATGACGGTTACTACTCTGAAGATGTCTTACAACTGACATGTCGGAATGAGCGCTTTACTCATGATCCTCCTGTATGCCGAGAATGTGAGTGTATTCGCTTTCTGAAGATGTTAAATGTTCAATTGTTATTGCCCTTTTTTGTTTTTATGTTAATACGGTATGCAAAATACAAAGGAAAAGTTTGAATAACAATGCATACAAATGAAATCAACATAATATAATAATATAGATATATTGTATTACATTATAAATCATATATGGATTATATGTAAAATATATTTACAATTTCCTAACCTTTGCATTTTGCCTAGGTCGAAATTAACTCCGGCTATATAAAATTGATTATAAGATTGAAAAATATTAATCTTATTATTTTAGTTAGTGATACTATGTACACGTTTTAATTATTGTTATTCACTCGTTAACGTCATTATATTTACATTTAAATTTAATGTATTGTTTAAGTATGAATTACATGTCCATGTAAAATTAATCTTATTAATCTTAAAATTGTATATTTTAAATAATATAGTAATAGACATAGCCGAGGTCTAGCCTAGGCTAGGCCTAAACAAGTGACTATATCATGTGAGTGTATAACATTATGAAAAATATAAATAAAAAGACAAATTGTGAATATATAAAGGAAGAAGAAAGAATAGGAAAGAGATTTGGAGCGGCTGAAATATTTTCCGAAAATATACAATAGTAGTCATTGAATATGCTATTATTGCATTACGTTTTTGTAAATAATTTTGGGCACTAATCGTCAGAGGTCTCGGTGCCACAGCCTACACTTTTCATAATTCGAAAGCTAATTAAAATTTAATCAATTTAAATCTCCATCATATTCATAATTTTGGTCTTCTTTTTGTCTTTTCGTTGTATTCATAAGTGTTATAGGCCTTAATATTATTATAATTCAATGTGCCCTTTTCGTGGTCATTCGAAGACGGGGAAGCAACTACATTTTTTATTTTTCTAACTAAGCCTACAGCTGTACCAATCTTCAAAAATATATTATCACTCTCTTATTAATTATCAATGTATAGTAATATTTTAATTGTCTACACATAATAAGTTTTCATTAAGATTTTCAAACTGTGTTTATAGTAATGAGTATATTAAAATCTTAACATCCCAAGCGTTTACTTAATTTCAGCTGAATGTGTATTACCTGATATTCCTATACACTTAGAAGTTCCACCCGAATACAATCCAGGGGAACGTGTTATTTTCGGCACCAGATACGATATTAGTTGTGAAAAAGGCTACACTTTGAATTCTGACAATGGCATATGGGAATGTATTGGAGGCGAAATGTCATTTGATCCTGTTTGTAATGAAAGTGAGTGTGCCCAAATAAAACATATCATTTTTCACAGGTTACATGGGAAATAAATTATAATTATATAATTAATAACCCTTGAAATGAATACCATTTTATGTTTTTAACAGACTTTCACAACATGGTGTATGATTGATTGCAATGCAGGTCATTAACATAACGTTCAAGATATAGGCATACTGCTTGCCAAAATAAGATAGGAAATTTATTTTGGATGAAGGTGGTAAATTAATTGGGCAGTGGGGGACAATTACTGTATAGGCTATTACTTGGCTTTGATTCAATTTTTAAAAGTTTGTTGAAACTTATTAAAATTATAGATAACGTCACTCAGGATGAGGTTCTCGATATATAATCGTTCTTAAATGAAGCTCTTAAGCCTGGTTCCCATAAAAACGCTACACGACATCGCCGACTCCTTTGCCGACGCTGATTAGTCAGTTGAATCAAAGAGCGTCCCGATTGCGTCGGGGAGAGCTACGCAGGATTGCAGTTACAACGCTGTAGTGGTATAGAAACCAAGCTTTATAAATCGAGTGGATGTAAAGTGGTTGAATTCACAGCAAGCGTGTTTTATACCAGTTTCATTGATAAAGTACTATAGTATATAAGATATTGTTCCCAGGTTACGTGCATTATGAGAAGATTTATATGCATGTTATTTTAAATTTTGTTTAGATTCATGTCCTCCGCCAGCTAATATCAAAGATGGATATATAACCTATTCATCAAAACCGGTATCTGGATTGTATTTAGCATATACAAGTGCAACATATAATTGCAATGATGGCTTCAAGCTGAGTAGAAGTGGAGTAAGATCTCGCAGATGCAGAGAGGGAAAATTCAAAGGAACAGCTCCAACATGCACAGAAAGTAAGTTAAAATTCACCCTTTTCATTTGAATTAAGGGGTGATTAAGAAATCTAACAAACTATTATTCTATCTAACATTGGACGAGTCATTAGCCGAGTGGAAGGCACGAGTCCCGCTAAATAATAAACTACAGCCTTCACCTCGGGGATGGTTCGAGCGGCTCCTCGCCCAATCCTTTTCAAATAAGGTCCTGCACATTAGGCTTGTGCTCACACCTCAAATAACACATTGTGACTTTTAGAAGAGAAGGGGGTACCCCAATGCTATGGTTCATTTTTACCCCCTGTCGTTGTGGAGTAAATGTAAACATGAATATACCAAGCGCTTCCGGCTGCTGTAGGCACGGACCACGCCCATACGCAATTCAGCACAATTACGCTTCAAGTTATGGGCTTTTCTTTTACTTTTATATCTTCGTACTGTAAGCAATTGAGGTGTTTAAAGATGTGTATAAGAGACAGGCCTAATGTGAATTAAGGGGTTTAAATGTTATCATGATTTTTAAAATACATCAAATGATGCTGACATTATTATTTTTTAACTTAAATTCTGTGTAATCTTTTCAATAATACCAACAGTAACAATTCGAAAAAAAGAACAAACTTTTTTTTTGTTCTTCTTTTGATTGAACGTTTCAAACTTTATTTAATATGTTGTTTTATATAATAATGATAAAAATGAAACAATGTGTGACAAGAAATTTACAGACGAACAAAGTATTATCTTATTTACAATATATAAAACTTGTCAAATCACGATACAAAATTAAGAACCCAATTTTGCCCCAAAAAAGACATTAAATACATCATCAAAACGCTACAAACACCGGAGCAGCTGGGGGTTTCGCCCACCACACCCCCACTAGCCTCTAGGGCCCTTTGCTGTCCCTGGTCCCACCGCCTGGCTCCAGGCCTTCGGCCCTTTGTTACGCCACTGATCCTTTGTAGCCATGCATTAACATTTTTGCAACCCCTCCCGCAGGTGGGAATCCCCCTACGTCCCTAGCTAAACTTTAGAAGACTTATTTCCAGTTTGTGTGTGAATAATACACGTTTTCTATTTTTCTATGCTATTCATAGCAATCTGTACCATCCCAACTGTCCACCACAGCAAAAATGATGCAAGTAATGTTATCTTGAAACATGGTCAATCGGTGACTTACACATGTAATGACGGTTACTACTCTGAAGATGTCTTACAACTGACATGTCAGAATGAGCGCTTTACTCATGACCCTCCTGTATGCCGAGAATGTGAGTGTATTCGCTTCCTGAAGATGTTAAATGTTCAATTGTTTTTGCCCTTTTTTTGTATTTATGTTAATACGGTATGCAAAATGCAAAGGGAAAGTTTGAATAACAATACATAAAAATGAAATCAATATAATAATATAGATATATTATATTACATTATAAGTCATACAATTTACATATATGGATTATATGTAAATTTGGATTATATGTAAATTTACAATTTCTTAACCTTTGTATTTTGTAATAGGTCCAATATTCCTTTGTAGTTTTTCTTATGATTCATTACCTTGAATGTTTTGGAAAATCGCACGTCAATTTGGAAACAGTTTTGTTTGCCATATCTATTTGCAATTTTTCCTGTACAACAATAATATTTATACCACTTTTGGCATTTCAATAAATATATTTCAAATGAATACTTAAAGTCACAATATGACTTCAAAAAATACTATCAAAGCCAAATGATTTTTGTTAAATATTTGTTTACATATAAGCACCATGTCCTGGAATTTCATCGGACCATTTACAAGTAGCGTACAACAACAACCCAGCCACTACTACAGTAAACGGTTTACATGTATATGAAGCAGGCACCATAGCAGGGTTCCTATGTGTTCCAGGCAATCTCTACTACGCTAGTGAGCCAACGGCAACATGCCGGTTAGGTCAATTTCAGCCACAAGTTACCTGTGAAAAATACGGTAGACAAGAGAGAGGATTCGTTTGATTTTATTAGGAAAAAATCAATATCAATGAGCCCTACTGTATATTTTTTAAAAACTGTAAAAATTAATAATACAAATTATTGTTAGGCCTGGACAGTTATTATCATTTTATTATTGTTGTCGTCATCATCATCTTCACTATATGTCATTCATTGTCACTGTCTCAGTCACTTTCGCTATTTCTATCGTTATTATTATTATTATTATTATTATTATTATTATTATTATTATTATTATTATCAATGGTGGTAGAGTGGTATTTTGGTATTAGTAGTATCGGTAGTAGTATTACTTGTAATAAGGATCTGTATACATTATGCATCATTCTAACATTATTAATATGTAGTCTTACTAATTTGTTAATCTGTAAACCTTCAGCAACCTGTCCTAGTGAGGAAGTCACACATGCCACGGTATCATATAAATTATATACAGTATATATATTATATATATAGTATATATATTATATATTATATATTTTATATATATTATATATATATTATTTCTGTACGTCGTTTCTAGATGTGTATAAGAGACAGATATAATATATATATATATATATATATATATATATATATATATACTATAAGCCTATGTTCTTTATTCGAACACTGTATTTATCTTTCTTTTATTATTAATACATAATTTAAGAGTGTTAACCGCGGTCTTGTTTTATATGCATGTTATTTTAAATTTTGTTTAGATTCATGTCCTCCGCCAGCTAATATCAAAGATGGATATATAACCTATTCATCAAAACCGGTATCTGGATTGTATTTACCATATACTAGTGCAACATATAATTGCAATGATGGCTTCAAGCTGAGTAGAAGTGGAGCAAGATCTCGCAGATGCAGAGAGGGAAAATTCAAAGGAACAGCTCCAACATGCACAGAAAGTAAGTTAAAATTCACCATATGCCTTTGAATTAAGTGGTGATTAAGAAATCTAACAAACTATTATTCTATCTAACATTGGACGAGTCATTAGCCGAGTGGAAGGCACGAGTCCCGCTAAATAATAAACTACAGCCTTCACCTCGGGGATGGTTCGAGCGGCTCCTCGCCCAATCCTTTTCAAATAAGGTCCTGCACATTAGGCTTGTGCTCACACCTCAAATAACACATTGTGACTTTTAGAAGAGAAGGGGGTACCCCAATGCTATGGTTCATTTTTACCCCCTGTCGTTGTGGAGTAAATGTAAACATGAATATACCAAGCGCTTCCGGCTGCTGTAGGCACGGACCACGCCCATACGCAATTCAGCACAATTACGCTTCAAGTTATGGGCTTTTCTTTTACTTTTATATCTTCGTACTGTAAGCAATTGAGGTGTGAGTGATAACAAAAAAGTAATGGAAATTTATTACAAAAGCCATAAAAAAAGTCATAAACAAGGTAAATAGAATTTATTTGGAACTGTGACTTAATTATTCTTAAGAGCACTTGCCAAATCAGGTTTTCCATTTTTACGTAAAAAACCATGGTCAATGTTGATGCGTGTGACCCTCCGAGTCACACACATCTTTGGAAGAATGAGCTTGTAATTTGGTTTATACCTAATTGATGTGTATAATAAGGGAAAATTTGACAATTCAAGGGCGTAGGCTGGGGGTACGCCCCCAAAAGGGGAAAATGTTCCGCTGGTGTAGGCCTAAGCCTACAATGGAAAAGTAGAATTCATTCAAGTAGAATTCGATTAGGCCAACGAAAGTACACATATAAACCTATGATATGTCTAGTCGTAAAGAAAAATAAAAACTCATTTTTTATCCCAAATGTGAATAACAGTACAGTAATTCGAACTTATTGTTTACGTGCCGGCGCTAATGTGTCCTCGTACTCGTACGACCGTTGTTTCTGTCCACTAGGCGAATTCGACCAAAATGCGATTATTTTTTTTATTACACGTTCAATAATTAACTACGAAATTCTTCACTGCGCATGCTTATGGCTAAGAGCAAAAATTTATGATTCGCACTATTGGAGGGGACTGCATAAAACTTTTTGTGCCAGTGGATTGCAACATTAAAATGGACTCTGGTATCTACACAGGAGCAAAATGTGCAATAAACACTAGAAACGTTATCTTATTATTAATCTTAAACTTTGACGAAAAACTTGGTTAATGATGATATAAAACCGATTATTGAATATTAAAAAACTTAAGGAAAATTTGGAAAAAGGGGTAGATGATAGGAGTTATCAAATTTCATTGACGTTTGCCTCAAAATCTGTAAACTTATTAGGCCAATAAATAAATAAAAAACAAAAACAAAAACAAAAAAAAACATAGATTATGGTTTTTCCTAATTAAAAAAAATATAGTTAATCAACTGAATTTTATATAGCCGTTATTACATTAAACAATAATTATACAGAGCCTTTGACATGTACAGGTCTATCTATCTATTGCGATTTATTTAAATAGTGATATCACAAGCTTGCACCAATGTAACTCCAGTGTTACGTTGACGCAATCTCGCAATGATGTCATAATAATCAGTGGCGGATTCAAGTGGGGCCGAGTCGACCCACTCGCCCCCACCCCCTCCTAAATTTTTCAAAATTATTAAGAAAATGGGGAAAACCAAGGAAAATTATTTTTAGAATTCAGGTCTGAGAGAACCATTTCTGGCCATCTAGTGGCGTCATAATAATAAATTTTCTTATCCTCAGCCCAAAACACGGTGGGGCCGAGGTGATCTAGTTTCTCCCTGTTCCTCTTTATTTCGCTTTCCTGGCGCCACTGATAATGATAAATTAAGTAAATCACCTCCATGTTTGTGAAATCAAAATGCTTAATGTTCTGTGTGCTTCCTATCTCCCTAGTCCTGTTTGATCGTAAATTAGACGGCAGTATTTCCACTCACAATCTGTCTCTTATACACATCTAGATGTGTATAAGAGACAGGTGCAACATATAATTGCAATGATGGCTTCAAGCTGAGTAGAAGTGGAGCAAGATCTCGCAGATGCAGAGAGGGAAAATTCAAAGGAACAGCTCCAACATGCACAGAAAGTAAGTTAAAATTCACCATTTGCCTTTGAATTAAGTGGTGATTAAGAAATCTAACAAACTATTATTCTATCTAACATTGGACGAGTCATTAGCCGAGTGGAAGGCACGAGTCCCGCTAAATAATAAACTACAGCCTTCACCTCGGGGATGGTTCGAGCGGCTCCTCGCCCAATCCTTTTCAAATAAGGTCCTGCACATTAGGCTTGTGCTCACACCTCAAATAACACATTGTGACTTTTAGAAGAGAAGGGGGTACCCCAATGCTATGGTTCATTTTTACCCCCTGTCGTTGTGGAGTAAATGTAAACATGAATATACCAAGCGCTTCCGGCTGCTGTAGGCACGGACCACGCCCATACGCAATTCAGCACAATTACGCTTCAAGTTATGGGCTTTTCTTTTACTTTTATATCTTCGTACTGTAAGCAATTGAGGTGTGAGTGATAACAAAAAAGTAATGGAAATTTATTACAAAAGCCATAAAAAAAGTCATAAACAAGGTAAATAGAATTTATTTGGAACTGTGACTTAATTATTCTTAAGAGCACTTGCCAAATCAGGTTTTCCATTTTTACGTAAAAAAACCATGGTCAATGTTGATGCGTGTGACCCTCCGAGTCACACACATCTTTGGAAGAATGAGCTTGTAATTTGGTTTATACCTAATTGATGTGTATAATAAGGGAAAATTTGACAATTCAAGGGCGTAGGCTGGGGGTACGCCCCCAAAAGGGGAAAAATGTTCCGCTGGTGTAGGCCTAAGCCTACAATGGAAAAGTAGAATTCGATAAGGCCAACGAAAGTACACATATAAACCTATGATATGTCTAGTCGTAAAGAAAAAAAAAAAACTCATTTTTTATCCCAAATGTGAATAAACAGTACAGTAATTCGAACTCATTGTTTACGTGCCGGCGCTAATGTGTCCTCGTACTCGTACGACCGTTGTTTCTTTCCACTAGGCGAATTCGACCAAAATGCGATTATTTTTTATTACACGTTCAATAATTAACTACGAAATTCTTTACTGCGCATGCTTATGGCTAAGAGCAAAAATTCATGATTCGCACTATTGGAGGGAACTGCATAAAACTTTTTGTGCCAGTGGATTGCAACATTAAAACGGACTCTGGTATCTCACAGGAGCAAAATGAGCAATAAACACTAGAAACGTTATCTTATTATTAATTTTAAACTTTGACGAAAAACTTGGTTAATGATGATATAAAACCGATTATTGAATATTAAAAAACTTAAGGAAAATTTGGAAAAAGGGCCGGGGTAGATTGTAGGAGTTATTAAATTTCATCAACGTTTGCCTCAAGATCTGTCCGAGGAAAAACAAAAATATTTTTTTCAACAGCATGCTTCCGTACAGTAAAGAACATAGCATACAGTACTGGGGGAATGTATAGTCGAAGCAACAGCCTGATGTGAATTAATGGGTTTTAAATGTTATCATGATTTTTAAAATACATCAAATGATGCCGACATTATTATTTTTACGTTAAATTCTGTGTAATCTTTTCAATAATACCAACAGTAATAATTCGAAAAAGAGAACAAACTTTTTTTTTTGTTCTTCTTTTGATTGAACGTTTCAAACTTTATTTAATATGTTGTTTTATATAATAATGATAAAAATGAAAGAATGTGTGACAAGAAATTTACAGACGAACAAAGTATTATCTTAATTACAATATATAAAACTTGTCAAATCACGATACAAAATTAAGAACCCAATTTTGCCCCAAAAAAGACATTAAATACATCATCAAAACGCTACAAACACCGGAGCAGCTGGGGGTTTCGCCCACCACACCCCCACTAGCCTCTAGGGCCCTTTGCTGTCCCTGGTCCCACCGCCTGGCTCCAGGCCTTCGGCCCCTGTACCATCCCAACTGTCCACCACAGCAACAATGATGCAAGTAATGTTATCTTGAAACATGGTCAATCGGTGACTTACACATGTAATGACGGTTACTACTCTGAAGATGTCTTACAACTGACATGTCGGAATGAGCGCTTTACTCATGATCCTCCTGTATGCCGAGAATGTGAGTGTATTCGCTTTCTGAAGATGTTAAATGTTCAATTGTTTTTGCCCTTTTTTGTTTTTATGTTATACGGTATGCAAAATACAAAGGGAAAGTATGAATAACAATACATGAAAATGAAATCAATATAATACAATAATATAGATATATTATATTACATTAAAAATCATACAATTTACATATATGGATTATATGTAAAATTTACAATTTCTTAACCTTTGTATTTTGCAATAGGTCCAATATCCCTTTGTAATTTTTCTTATGATTCATTACCTTGAATGTTTTGGAAAATCGCACGTCAATTTGGAAACAGTTTTGTTTGCCATATCTATTTGCAATTCTTCCTGTACAACAATAATATTTATACCACTTTTGGCATTTCAATGAATATATTTCAAATTAATACTTAAAGTCACAATATGACTTCAAAAAATACTATCAAAGCCAAATGATTTTTTGTTAAATATTTGTTTACATATAAGCACCATGTCCTGGGATTTCATCGGACCGTTTACAAGTAGCTTACGACAACCCAGCCACTACTACAGTAAACGGTTTACATGTATATGAAGCAGGCACCATAGCAGTGTTCCTATGTGATCCAGGCAATCTCTACTACGCTAGTAAGCCAAAGGCAACATGCCGGTTAGGTCAATTTCAGCCACAAGTTACCTGTGAAAAATCCGGTAGGCAAGAGAGAGGATTCGTTTGATTTTATTAGGAAAAAATCAATATCAATGAGCCCTACTGTATATTTTTAAAAATTAATAATACAAATTATTGTTAGGCCTGGACAGTTATTACCATTTTATTATTGTTGTCGCCATCATCATCTTCACTATCTTTCATTCATTGTCACTGTCTATGCCACTATCTCTATTGCTATTGTTATCGTTATTATTATTATTAACGGTGGTAGAGTGGTATTTTGGTATTAGTAGTATCGGTAGTAGTATTACTTGTAAGAAGGATCTGTAGACATTATACATCATTCTAACATTATTAATATGTAATCTTACTAATTTGTTAAAATTTTAACATTTAGCAACCTGTCCTAGTGAGGAAGTCACACATGCCACGGTATCATATAAGGATGAAACAGACAATAATTACATTCCTGAGGATGGACATGTCCGCCAAGGAGTAACAAGAGCTGTGCAATGTGCCTACCCATATACAATCAGCGGAAAATCTAAAAGTGTGTGTACAAATAGTGGACAATGGTCAGAAAATATACCATCATGTGAAAAGCGTAAGTACCTAGCAAATGAAATAAAATTATTATAATTGTCATAATGATAAGTTGATTTAATTATTCTTTCAGGTATTATGATTATCATTATCACCATCATTATTATCAACATTACTGAAACTAATATATTTATGGCATTACTATATTTATTACTAGTCATATTGTAATTTATATATACATATATATATACTGTATATATATATAAATGAATATAAAGTTGTCAGTTCAGGCAACGTATAGTGCTCGATGCTATGCAGAGCGGTATAATAATAATAATAATAATAATAATAACTTGTCACCATCATTATTACCAACATTACTGAAACTAATATTTTTATGGCTCTAATCATATTGTAATTTATATACATATATATATATATATACATATATATATATATATATATATACACATATATA